TGTGTGTGTGTGTGTGTGTGTGTGTGTGTGTGTGTGTGTGTGTGTGTGTGTGTGTGTGTGTGTGTGTGTGTGTGTGTGTGTTTGTGGTGGGGGGGGGAGCGGGCACACGCGTGCTTTCAACTGCATGTGCGCACATGTGCGCAAGAGCATCATCTATCCGCCCCTTACGAGAATGTGGAAAGGTGGAGTGCATTGATGCATCTGGTTCTGCTCCACCAGCTCTAGCAAAGGCGCTGGAACTCCGGTCCAAGGTTGACAACAGCCATCAAGCTGCGCCGCTCCATCCCGCCCTGACTCACCCTACCCCAGCCCGCTTCGAGGACTCCGTTGTCCCCCCCCCCCCACCGCCGCCCTCCCCAGCCACCTGGATCGCGTCCACCAGGTCGGTCGCGCGGTTGCTGTCCCCGGCCCAGATCTCGATCGAGGTCGGAAGATCCTTCTCGTGATGCTTCGGCGGGAAGGGGCTGAGCCACCCCGTGCCTGCCGGGTCTCCGGCGACGGTGAAGATCTCCCTGGTCAGGCGCACGCGCTGGGGCTGCGGCAGGCGAGGGGAGGGGAGGGGAGGGTTGTGGTAAGGGCTGAGACAGGGGACTGATGACTAGTATGGGGACGTGGGGAGACGCAGCGGCATACAGGGGCGGTGCTTGGAGAGCCGGCAATGCGCTGCAACGGGGCTGATAGAGCATACAGGTGGATCATTAGTCGCCCTTACCTCGAACGTCCTCGCGTATTTCCAGATGTCGACAAAGTCCAGGACCTGACGGATTGGGCGTTTGGGTGATTCAGGCAGGAGGCCACAGAATCAGCGAGCTGCTTCACCGTTTCCAGGGCACTCGTGCTGAAAGGCGTGCACAACAGGGCGGGCATGGCCCCAGGGTTGCCCACACGGCCAGAGCTAGTGGCCTCGAATCGACCGAGCTGGCGGCAAACGCAGATCTGAAGTCAGGGGCGCGGCCCTCGGCCCCGTCAACCGCATGCACAGCTGCTTTGTTTGGCCAGGGGGGGAGGAGGAGTGGGACAACTCACGTAGCGGGTGAGGAAGTTCTCCCGAGGGTTCCAGAGGTTCTCTGGCAAGGTTGGATGCAAGTGTTTATGAGCTGTGCGCGGGCAAACTGGGTGGGGCAGCTGCAATGCCGACGGCAGGACGACCAGGCCCGAGTGTGTGCAGGGATGCAGAAGCACTCCGCTCTCCTAGCTGTGGTGCGGTTAAGCAGTTAAAGCCTCACCCCAGGTCTTCCAGGCGTTGTAGTGCTCGCCGTAGTTGGGGCGGCCGGTCAGCCAGCTGATGATGGACTGTCCGGGGAACCGCAACTCGACCGCAGACTGTGTCTCCACAGGGATATTCCCGTTGACCTGCTTCGCAATCTCCTTCTGGTCAGGCTGCAGGAGGTGACAGGAAGCGAAGGAGGGAGGTGAGGCATGCGTGAAAGCAATTGATCGTATGTATGCGCCAGTGCAAGCAGGTGCCAAGGGAATGAGCTGACGAGGGTGCACAGGCACGTTCGCGTTTGCACGAGCCCCTGCCGTTTAGCAGCACTGTGCCCGACGCTGCCGTGTGCCAAGCAGCCTGAGCAACTGACCAGGGCCAGGTACAAGGATGGGCCGTAAAGCATCTGGCCCAAGAGCTCGGCCCCGAAACTCGCGCGAATGGCACAAGGCAGTCCCCAGACTGGCCTGGGCGATGCCTGACAATGCTGTCGTTGCAGATCTGCCTCGCAAGCCCCAAGGCTCTGCACTGCTGACCCCATTTGCTGGCTGCACCTTGCAATCCCCATGAGAGCTCAGGGGAACGCACAACACAGCTTTTTAATGCCCATGCTACTGTATGTGTCTGCATCATGCCATTGGTCACAAACGCATGTTCACCACACAAAAAACCAACACTTTCCCAAAAAATACAGGCTCATGCGTAAAAGGCTCCTTGCCACCACCCTTGAGGGAAACCCTTTGAGGTTGCCCCTCCACCCCTGAGATATCCTCAAGGCACCTCTGCTGCTCAGCCCCCTCACCTCCTGGATCTTGTTGTAGATCGTCATGGCGCTGCTGTGAGCCTGGTTGATCACTCTATCCAGCTGCTGGATCTTGGCCTCCCTCCAAACGGAACCGAGGCCCAATGCCTCGGTCGACTCTGGCACGTCCCTGCGGGCCAGGCTGATGCCCTGGCGGAGGCTGAAGATGTACACATTTAGGTACTGCAGGTCACCCGCGGGGAAGGAGTGTTGAGAGTTGCCAGGATGATTAGAACTTGCCCGTTGAAGGGGAAAGCTTGCAGGCAACCTGCCGGTGCTTAGATGGGAACTATGTGAGCCAGGACTGCACCGCATGACCTGAGCCCACGACAGGAGTGAATGCACACAGCAGCGAGCCGCAGGCCGGCTGCGGCGGCCAGGGGCGCTCAAGTGGGGATGCGTAGGGGCGCCAAGTATGCACGGGACCACCACGTTGGCAGCTCAGCAGCAGGTGCGGCCCTAGCCATGCAATTCATTGTCCCGCCCATACGCCGGTGCAATGATGAAAGCCTTGATTATTCACCGATCGCACAGCACCCCATCAGCCATGATGTCACACGTCAATCAGCTCAAGCCACCTCGCCTTAGGACTGCTTGGCCTTCCCACACTACCACCAAAACGGGGCCACTTAAGGGCCTGTTTAATGCCATGTTAGCAAATCACCCTGGTATATGCAGAGGTTATGGACAACTACAACTGCTTGAACCCTCTTTCGTGCCGCTCCGCACATCCTCCCGGAGTGTCCCCCACACCTGCACATATATTGGCAGCAGCAGGGATGGGTCCTCCAGCACCGCCTTTTTTGACTCCAGGATGTTGAAGAGCGCTTCAAATTTCTGGGGCGGGGGGCAGGTGGGTGATGGCAAGTGTGCGAAGCGAATAGAACTAAATAGAGCAGCACTGATGGAGCAGGTGCGCAGAGCTGCCACACAGGTACAAGGTCAAGGAGAAGGTTCGAGCCGCCGTGGCAAAGGGGGCAGCAGCGGAGTGGAAGGAGGAGCGCTGCGCCGCAAGGGAGGCTGGTGGCCTCCACTCAAGTTCAGGGCAGTGGCGCGGCAACCACAAAGGGGACTGCCGTGCGGCGCAATCGTACAAGGACCTCACCCGCTCCTGGTCAGGTCCGCGTTTTGCCGAATTCACCGCCTTGTATGATGCCGCGACACTGGGGAGGGGCAGTCGCGATCGCAGGGGGGCGGAGGGGCCACGGGTGGGAGTCACCGAGAGCGGTCGACTGAGATGAGCGTGCCCACGGCTCGAAGCAGACTTGGGTGACTTTCATGTGCGCGTGATAGAGAGAGAGAGTGCGTGTGCGTGTGTGTGTGTGTGAGGGTGTGAGCATGCCTCGTGTGTGTGTGCTCCAAGGGGGGGGACTGGTGGCTGCATTGGCCGACCCCGTGTGCGCTCGGTGGTCTCCATTATCACCCTAGCAAGCTGACCGGCAGACGCGCATTACTGTGGTGCACCATGCAGACAAGAATCGCATCCGGCGCACAACAGCCCGCATAGCCCATGTCATGTGGGCATGCGGATGAAAAGTCACGTGCAACGCGTAGGGGCGCTGCAGAAGAACTCTAAGAGGCAGGCACAGATTTGCCCCGCCCAGGCGCACGCAAGCATGACGAGGCTCTGTTAGTTGTTTTGCGCACACGCAAGCAGCCAGCTCACGAGTTGAGGGCCTCCTTGACCTTCTCCCATTTGGCGTCGTCAATCTTTGGGCGGCCGGGCAGGTACTTTGACAGGCTGTCCAACCTCCAGTCCTTGGTAAACTCTGGGTACTTGGACTCCTTGATCAGCTGGCCCTCGTTGATGACCTCGCGCAGCTGCAAGGCGACGCGGGTAACGTAGAAATGGGTTGGGATGCGCGATGCTTGGATCAGGGCGACGGCTTGAGGCGCGATTGTGCCTTGCCGCTTTGGCGTGACAGGTAGCGGCACGGGGCAGATCTCGGATCAGTCATCGGCAAGCTCAGCGGGGGCTGAAGCGCATGGTCGTCTGGACAGGGACCTTGATTATCCCCCATACGGCTGGCGGATTGCAGCGCCCAGCACCGCGCTTCAAGGCACGTGGTGGCAGCAGGGCCCGCCTCTGTGCAGCATCAGCAGCTTTTCTGCAGCCTGATAAGGCGCAGCTTGCTCGCACCAGCCAGCCCTCAACACATGCGGAGTCGCCTGTCCCGTGCCCCCTGATGCGGGCCAGTCCGTCCCACAAACGCGGCTTCAGGTGCTGGCCCAGTACCCCTCCCTGAATGCGGTATCACATAGGCGTTCAATCGGCGTATGCCTGGCCCCGCCCTGCACGCTCACCTGTTCCCAGAGGTCGGTTTTGTCGACATCCTCGTCGTAGCCAAAGAGCTGGTTCACGATGAGGAAGGCGGCGTCGGACGCGACAGCCTCGGGGTCCTTGTGCTGCAGGTTCCTGATGATGGTGGTGCGCAGCTGCGGGGATGATGGCGACATGCGCATGCATGTTGGTGTTCTGTGCACACGTGTTTACAGGCACAGGCGTGCGCCTCTGTGTGTGTGTGTGTGTACATGCTCGCTGCACGCTGCCCGCGCGTGCATGCTGCACGCAGGTGGGTTAAAGAACAAAACATGGCAAGAGGGCTCGATCGTCCAGCCTGCCCTGCGATCTGACCACACCCTCCACAAAAGCGAAAGAGGCCGTACCGACGGCTGATATCGATCCATGGTTGACTCCCAGGGCGGGGCTTCGCCGTTGGTTCTGCGACCCGTGCACCCACCTCCGAGAGAATGTCTTCAAACAGCTGGGGCGCAGGGCCCGTCCTGCGCGAAGAGCGCGAGCGCACGCGTACACGCGTATGTGCGTGAGATTGTGCATAGGATTGTGTGTCCATGTGACGATGTGTGTGTGTGTGTGTGTGTGTGTGTGTGTGTGTCACACTCGCAAGACCTGTGCAGTTCTTGTGTGCATGCTTCCGTGCACATGTGCCTGCAGGCCACACTTGACATGTGTGAGTGTCAGAAGCTGCACAAATGCAACTGGTCTATCATTGCTGACCGGTGCGGCAGTACTGCGTGGATGCCGGACCATGCAGCAACCCAGTGCGCGCTCAGCAACCTTCCCCCCTTGTGCCCTGATCTAACAATTATGCCACAAATGCTCCGCACCAACCTCCGGTTGCTCTGCCCTAGCACAGTGCCTGGGCTCACTTGGTTGGGTTGAGGTCAGGGTACGTCTCCGGTGGGACCCAGTATGCGGCGGTCTCAGGCGTCTCGCTTTCCCCAGGGGCACCGCCGCCGGTGGCGAGGTCAGCGACCACGGTTGCGGGCACAGCGGCCATTTCAAGGTTTGCGTGCTTAGCTGTAAGCACGGGGACCTGATGGCGTCAGAAGGGCAGGGCGATGCTGATACGGTGCAACAGGGACATGCGGCAGGGCGGAGGTGTTGCAGACGACTGCTGGCCAGCAGCGGCGGGTGCCATGGCACCCATTGGGTGATGCTGTCCGTGGCGCATGCCGCGGGACCACTGGGGTAAGGAACGACAAGAGCGCCGATTGCGGCCCGGCATCAGGGCCACTGTGCAATCTGCTCTCACACAGGCAGCTGTCAGCCCGGTGTGTGCCTGCTGCCTGGCGTCACGAGCACTAGGCCCACCCACTGGCCACCCTGGGCACATGGTAGCGTTGTCGCACGGTTGAGCCGCGGATCCAACCCCACTACCCCCTGCTGCTGCGATCAGGCGCCTTTATCCCCTTATTCAATCACCACAGCGCAGACATGTCTACCCAAGTGACATCTCACCCGGTGGCGGATCCGTCGTCGCACTTGGAGGACTTGCAACGAGCCCACGCAACGAGAACACTCGGCGAATATATGTCGTATCTCTGGGATACTAGTTCTACGCGGGTGGTCGGTAGCAGGCTCGGGATCGCGTGGAATCCGAGAGGGTGGACAGGCACGCGCCGGCTGCCCTCTTTGCGCGTCAGAAATAACGCGGAAAACGCCTGCTAGCACCATCGAGGAATCGTATGCGGGTGTCTGGGATGCAGGCCAGGTGACGCAATCCGGTGACGTCGCCGCACATGGGGCCAGCGGGCAGGCAGGGCAACGTGACAACAAGGCGGCAGTGACGTAATTGCTTGGCAGACGCTCTGCAGACAAGCCTGATAGTGGCCTTGTATCATCCTTCTGCACACTTCAGAGCCCCTGGATGCCTCTGAACCCAGCCAGAAAGCAACTTCGCAAGGGGCACACGCCCGGGAGCTGAGTCATAACCAACGGTGCCACGCCCCTGTGCCAGCACCAGGGTGAGGATGCAAGGAGACCCTATAACTTGCAATGCGAATTGAGCAGGCTGGTAAGCAAGTTCGGTGATATACTTGGAAAAACTTTGTTGGATGAAGCCCTGGCGGCTGCCTGCGCAAGGGGTTGTAGGCCGCTCAAGTGACCAGCTCAACTGTCCATGTCAAGGCAGCCATTGGCAGCGCGCCTGAGATCCATGCTGCCCAAGCCTCAACATCCTCTGCGCACAAACTTCGCTGGAAATCTCAGGCGCGCAACGCGCCCAGGGCTGCATCTGCACTGCACCAGTCCGGTTGCTGGAAGGGTCGGTGTGTTGTCACTTGATGTCACCCCGGCAAGATCCTGCCCTGGTGGGTGCGATTCCTGGAGGATCGGCCGCTTTCTGTCCCGCCCTTCGACCATCTCAGCAGAATGTTTGCAGCCTCACCTCCACCTGCCTGACAAAAATGCCACGAAAATGTGCACTCTCTAGTATCCCTCCTGGCCTTGGGTGTCCCTGGGCATAGTGGATGTAGGCCACCTGTGGTGACGCAGTGACGGTGATGAAGGGCGGCCTGGTGACGAAGCTGCGGGGTGTTATGGATCATGACCAGATTTTTTTGATGACATTATGCGACTGTGATGCTGCTTGCGCCCAGGTCGCGTGTCGCCAAACAGGATTTGCTAACATTGACTAATTGCTGTTTGGCCTGCTTTTGACTGGACTTACACCCAGCTGGCACACTAAGCGGGCACCTGGTGAACTGCACCACTCCGAGCGCAGCCCTCATGCATACACTCATTGAGTTAGCACGCAGCCTGCCCCCAAATCGATCTGCCAACCGCAGTCATCAGCTGCACAACCATGCCGGTGCAAGCGGCGGACCCTTATCAGCACGCTCTGAGGTGCGGTCCTGCCCAGCTGGGCCAGCACGCTCTGTGTGCTGCAGCCCAGCCGCTTCTTAGCCTTTACAATGATGGCTCCTCGGCATCATCAGGGACGAGAGCCGATAACAGGTGATGTCATGGGGTGCACCCAAATAGGCTGCCGTGCTGCTTGTTCAGCCGATGTGAGCTTGTTCAGCTCGCAAAGCGAGCTGCGGTGACCCGGCCCCCGCAGGCCTCGGCGCTCCCATGCATGACTCAGACACCTGGACTCTCAAAGGTGGCAGAAGGCCGTGGGCTGGGTTGTGGAGCACATGGTGGTCGACGGTGGGCACGACAGGCTGGTACCCGCACCGCGCTTGCTGTTGGTCACCGCCATCTGCAACCCTGCCAGAGCTGCTGTCAGCGCTCCTTCACACACAGACAGCAGTGGTAGTGTCCTTTACGCAGATTTCATTACATTGCGCAGCTCTCCAGGCGACCAATAAAGGACAATGCTCTTAGCAAGCCGTGACCAGTGTAACAGCATGCTTGGGCGCATGCCTCGTCAACCCTGTGTAGATGCTGGATGGTACAGAGCGACGTTGGACCCACCAAATTGTGCTACAAAACACACATATAGTCAGCTTGTTGCTCTTCGTAGACAGGGCGATGCGAACCATCATAATACGCCCATACACACACTCACGCACCCACCCATCCAACACACACACACACACACACACACCACACAGAAAAAAGCCACAGCCTCTGCAGCCTCTGCAGCCTCTGCAGCCTCTGCAAGATAACACCACACAGCAGGGCCATAGATCCTGGATGCGATCTCACAAATGGCGGGGTCTCTCAATATGCCGATCTGCAAACTCAGCTCTCATTCAGAGGCGGCCCCCCTCAAGCCTCGCCGCCCAGCAGCTCCAACTCAGCGCCAACAGCCACATGATCGCTCGCCCACACCGCGTTGGGCGCCGGCGGAAACGCCGCCTGCGACACGCTGCCGGGCGGGACCGCGTGCGCTCCGGTGAGCCCGCCGCCGCCCGGCCGCTGCCCATGCTGCCCCTGCCCCTGCTGCTGCTGGCTGGGGAACGGCATGTCGAGGGTGGACAGGACTTGCCAGTGCCCGGCGGAGAGGAAGAGGTAGTCCAGGGTGCCATCAAAGGTGGCGGTGCGCGTGGTCAGGGGCGGCTCTCTGGGGTGCGCGGGGTGCGTGGGGGTGCATCAAAGACGTGGAGGGGGCAGGCGTAGGCACGAGTGGAGGGCCGGGATCCAAAAGAGGCGGCTGGCTGTTGCGGTGCTGGCAAACTCGACAAGACAGGACGCTGAGAGGGGCGCGGGAGAGGGAGACGCTTGTTCAGAGGTGCGCCTCTGACGCACCTGCCGAGCGCCTGCACATGCATGCTGTTGAGCTGCAGCCCGCTCGTGTTGAAGCTGAGGCGGTCCAGGGGACACCTGCCGGGGCTGCCCGCGCGCTGGTGCCCGCGCTGTGGGCTCGGGCCTCGCCGCAGGCCGCCGCCCACCGCTGCCAACTGTTCGGCAGCCAAAGCTTGTTGCTGCTGCTGGCCGGCCCTGGCGACTCGGGCGCATGAGCGCTGGCTGGGATGGTCCGGGTGTGTGGGGCCGACGCGGCCGGTGACTAACAACTCGTAAACTGCGCTGACGAGGCACTGACCCGGGGGCACCTGGGGGCAGGGCGGTTGGGTGCAAGGTTGGTCGCAGGGCCTCAGACCGTCGAGCAGGGCGGCGAATTGCTTGTGTTGATGGGGAGTGCCATCTCAGCTGCAGATGATTGCAACCGCAAGTGAGGTGCCAAGGGCGAAGTTGAGAAAAAGTGGGCCAGGATAGCTTGGGGCTGTCCTGCTTTGTCAAGGCCAAGGCGCCGCACCGTGTTGAAGGGGTCGCTCGCCCATACTCCTGGCAGGCTGTTGAAGCTGCCGGGACGCGATTGGGTTTCATGGGGGGGTTCAAGAGCAGTGCTTGGAGGGAGGGTGCCTTTGGGGATGGCAGGCGGTGGTGACCAACGGTCCCTGTGGCGACGTGCTGCACGCATGCTTAGCGCCCCTTTGTAAATGGTGAGCGATGCAGACACGCGCGATGGCGAGGCACTCGCGCGTGCTGATGAGCCGGGAGGCGACTCACTCGCCGCCGATCAGCACCGGCACCGCAGCCGCCGCGCCTGGGCCCAGCCGTGTCTCCAGGAAGTCGGCGATGCCGCGGCACAGCGCCGCCGCCTGCACCAACTGTATAGACACAAAGGGATTGCCATGAAGAGGGCGGGGGAGGAGATGATCCACAGCACTGGATATCACTACAGTGAATTAGGCGCGGGAGGGCTGACAGACATAGCCACGCAACTGGACCCCTCCGACACGCACGCTCCTGGCCCTAATGGATGACATAAACCAAGCTGTCCCTTTTCAAAAAATTGTAACGCGAGTCCCCGCACCTTGACGTCAGGGAATTGTGGGTCCCAAAACAGGTGCGTGCTCGCCGCCAGCACCCGCCGCCCGCTTGCGCGGTGCTGCAGCAGCGCGGCCGCGGCGCCCTCCTCCCGCCGCATCAGCACGCGCATCAGCGGCTGCGCCGCGGCGTCGTCCCTCACGGCGCGCGGCAGAAGCGTCGCGGCCACGTCGGCGAAGCGAAAAGCGCACGAATCCAGAAGCTCAAAGGTCGACCGCCTCCAGTGCAGCGAGACGCCCTCCTGGGGGCCAAAGTCGCCCGGCGGTGACCTGCATGTGGTGCCATTGAAAATCGTTTCGGGAGACTTTGAGCAGGGCTCAGTGCTGGGCGCGTGTCTGACGGCAGCAGCAGAAGCCAAGCGACGCCGTGTCAGGTTGGGGCAGGTGCTCTAGAACGCAGGCGGCTGGGTTCAGGCTGTTGTGGCGGCCGGGATGAAGCAGCGGCGGCCTGCGCCCGTGCACCCGTTTGAAGCGCCCTCCAGCTCTGGGCCCCGCACCTCCTGGGTTTGAAGATGCCATTGTAGCTGGGCGCCAGCCAGGGGCTCAGCTGCTGCTGAAACACGGGCGCCTCCACCTCCTGCAAATTGCGAAAGGCGGTGCCGCGCAATTGGCGACCAGTTTCGAGGCGTGCGCGCAGCTGAGGGCGTGCGCGCTAGTTGATAGCGCCTGCTTGTTGCCTGATGCAGCAGCAAAACCTGTCGCCTGACACGTCACCAGCGCGTCACCTGCAAGAACATGATGTCAGCATCGTAACCCGCCAGCTCAGCCTGCAGGCGCGGCCACCTGCTTGACCAGGCCAGATGCTCAGCCGGGCAATACCTGTTCGCCCTGAAGAGACAAGGTGCAAAGCGGGGCCGGCATGCAAGGGCGGTCGAGGAAACATGCAGCGCGCAGCTTGGGCCGCATGGATGCAGCGCGGGCAGAGGGCGGCATGCGCCGGCTGGCTGTGGGCGCATGCGGCTGCGCAGTGCAGCGCCGACGCGGTGGAGGGCTCACCCCGACCACTTGTCAGCCAATATGTTGTACGTGACAGCTTTCAGCACGACGCGCGCCTGCGTCGCCGCCGACGCCGCCTGCCCCGTCGAGCGAAACAGCCGGCTCATCAGCGCCGAGGGGCGGCCTGTTGAGCCGCGGTCGCTTTGAGCTTGCAAGCCGCCCAATTCGGCGTTCGGTTGTGCTGTCGGCGGCAGGGAGCCGTGCGGGTTTCAAAAGCGCCGCTCCAGCGGGGCGCTCCACCACATCAACTGACCACAGCTTGCAGATGACTCTTTACGGGCCCAAGATACTCCTAGCGATTCAGCCCAGCATAATCAGATCATCGCTGCTGTCACTGGCGCTGTTTCCCGGATATCGGGGCGTGAAACGCATGTTATATGCGTGGCTATTGTCTTCAGTGACACGTGTACATCTGGTTGAAAGCAGGGGGTGACTGTCGCGCGCCGCAGCTGCTGTGGTACGCGCATGTGCTGTTCAGCGCCCGCCCAGGATGAAAGAGGGCGAGACGTCCCTGCTTATTGAGGGCGCGGCGTTCCTGGTGGTCGCAGTACTGCTGCTGTGCATGGTCAGCAGCCGCTACGATGTATCGGAGTGGTTGCCCTGGCGCCAGCGACGTGCGCAGCGGGCTGCCACCCCGCAGCGCTTGGATTAGCTAATTGCAATCATTGCAACGCTTGGTAGGACACCCTCGTGGCCGGCGGCCTGTAACCAGCCAGTGACCTCTGCTCGCATGCAGCAACCTAGGATCGGCCGACCTTTGAGTGTCGACCACAACTGAGTAATCATACTAAGCGGCCGCGCGGCGCATAGCAAAGCTGGCGGGCTGTGGGGCGGTGCCACGCGCGAGAGCGCAATGCACCCTCAGGCATGAAGCACTTGCAGCTGCATATATTGGGGGTGCGTGCGCACATATGTGGCGCCCTCCGCTGCTTTGCCGCGCCGCGGCAGGCCTTTCTGCGCGCATTTGCTGTTCTGCGCCCGCCGAGGATGAAAGAGGGCGAGACGTCCCTGCTTATTGAGGGCGCGGCGTTCCTGGTGGTCGCAGTACTGCTGCTGTGCATGGTCAGCAGCCGCTACGATGTATCGGAGTGGTTGCCCTGGCGCCAGCGACGTGCGCAGCGGGCTGCCACCCCGCAGCGCTTGGATTAGCTAATTGCAATCATTGCAACGCTTGGTAGGACACCCTCGTGGCCAGCGGCCAGTAACCAGCCAGTGACCTCTGCTCGCATGCAGCAACCTAGGATCGGCCGACCTTTGAGTGTCGATTACAACTGAGTAATCATACTAAGCGGCCGCGCGGCGCATAGCAAAGCTGGCGGGCTGTGGGGCGGTGCCACGCGCGAGAGCGCAATCCACCCTCAGGCATGAAGCACTTGCAGCTGCATATATTGGGGGTGCGTGCGCACATATATGGCGCCCTCCGCTGCTTTGCCGCGCCGCGGCAGGCCTTTCTGCGCACCCCCATCGGTTGGGGCGCCTCAATCCACACACAAAACAAGACACATTCAAGGGGTCTCAAGCAAACCCACGCACAACAAAAAACTGGGGCGTGGACCGCTTGAACGTAGCACCAGGGGCACAAGGGGGCATAACAAGGCAACCAGCACATTCGGGCAAAGTTTGTAAACGAGCATGGCAAACTACAGCAGCCGCCCCTCGTCCTCAACTACCGACGACCGGCGACGCCTCCCGCGCTGCGCCGCACCCGCCGCCGGGAGGCGCAGCGGAGGTGCAGGTGCCCACGCGCGCCGCTCACGCCTGCACGTCCGGGGCCGCCCTGCGGGCCTTGGGCGCCTTGAAGGCCGCAATGCCGGTGGCGCCGCGGCCGGCCACCAGCACATTGACGTCGTAGGTGCCTGCCGGTTGGCGGTTGGGCGGTTGGACAGTCCGCGGTTGGTGGGCCGGCTGGGTGGATATGGACAGTGCCTCGCGCGAAGGCTCACAGGCTGAAAGCGGATGCACAGGCAGCTTGCCTCGAACTGCGTCCTCTTGCACCCTTGCCGCCCTGGCCTCCCAGTCTCTCAGGCCGTGACCAAAAGCGCTTGTGTACGCCCAGTCCCCAACAAGTCGCCCCCCACTACCCACCCTCGTAAGTGTAGATGGCCTCCATGTCGCAGAAGTGCTTGGCCACCAAAAAGTCTGCCTGCACGCCGTTGCCCCCCTGAGAAGGTCGGCGGATGCGAGTGGGTGCGCGCTGCTGCTTGGGGCGTCAATTGGGGCTGCAGACAGCAAAATTTGAGCGCCTCGGCAGTAGTCAAAAGACAGGAGCAGGCACCAGCAAGATGAAAGGATACTGACTCGGTCAAACAGCTCCGGTTGTGAGCGTTCACACCGCATGTGGAAGTGCGAAGGGCCCAGTACCTCTTGCTCCCCCCCCCAAAGGCCTCACCAGCAGCTCTCGCGCCAGCGCCACGCACTCGCGGCCGCGCAGAGTGTTCCACGCCTGACATGTGTGTGCAAGTCAGGGGAAAGGAGAATCCTCAGGGTGGCGTGTTTCCGACGGAGAAAACACGCATCGCCGTGCGTGGCACGCAAACGGTGCTCATGGTGCTGAGGGCGCGAAAAAAACCTCCCCGTGTCCCAGGGCCCACAAGCTGCAGCACTCTCCCTCCTCCAGGCCGCCCACCTTGGCCAGGCTGGCCTGCTCGTGCGTCAGCCGCCCCTCCTCCGACAGCCGCGTGATGCGCCATGACATCATCCACATGCCCTGAGGGATTGACAGCAGCAAAAGCGCGCAAACAGCGTGCAGCTGCTACATTCAGGGCCACCATTGATTCGCAATTGCATCCAAAAAAGCACAGCTGTGACCACTGGCGGCCCACATGCCTGTGGCGCTACGCCTGCAGCAAAAGCCAGTGGCAAAAAAGCCAGTGGCATCCCCCACCCTGGCCCTGCCCGTCAGCCCGCAGCCCCGGGCCCCAGGGGGGGTCGTCACCTGAATGTTGCCCAGCATGCGTGCCAGGCGCTCCTGCACCAGCTGGAACGACGCCAGGGGCGTGCCAAACTGCTCGCGCTCCCGCACGTACCTTTTGAAGGGGGGAAGAAGCGCATGACAACAAGGTTTGTTGGCTGAAGGGTCGTCACCGCCCCAGGCGCGGCGACGTTGAGTTGGGAGGGCCGGCTGCCCTCAGATTTTGGATGGCAGAGGATCCCAGCGGTCTCAGCAAAGTCGGCATGAGAACTCCTTGGCCTGCGTAAAGCTCTAGTCCGTTCCCGTGCTGCCTTCGAGGTCCATCCCCACCCGCCCCCGCGCGCGCACCGCGCCGCCATGTCGTACGCGCCCATGGCCATGCCGACGGGCATCCAGCCGACCATGATGCGGCTGAGGGCCAGGACCTTGTTGGTGTCCTTGAAGCCAGTCACACCTTCAAATTGGGGTGTACAGGGAGGAAGACATGGGCGGGAGGTGGGCGCGCAGGGGTGGGGGCAGTAGGAGGTCAGCGCATGAGCGGAAGAGAAGGGCGATGCCGTGCACGGCAAGCTCGTTCCTAGCGTTCCAACCCTGCTGTCGGCAACATTGGCCCGGCGGGCGCGGCGATCGCTTTGTCCCTGGCCCTCGCTGGAAAACACCCGAACCAGCCTGGATTTTGCCAACTCGCACGCACAACACCCAACTTCATTCCCAGCTCACCTGTGCGCTCCGCACCCCCTTGCGAAACCCACCCCTGCACCCCAGTCGCCAGACCCGGAGCCCCAGCCCCTGCCGGCCGCGCGCGCCCCACACACCTGGCAGGCGCTGCGAGTCCGGCACGAAGCAGCGGTCAAACACCATGTCGGCGTTCTGCACGCAGCGCAGCGCGATCTTGTTCTCGATCTTGGTGGCCTTGAACCCCGGGGTGCCCTTCTTGACAATGAAGCAGTTGACCTGGCGGTTGATGTGGGGTTGATGTGGGGTTGACGTGGGGTTGATGTGGGGTTGATGTGGGGTACGACAGAGCGCAAGGGATTAGGGGGTGGGAGGACCGACACGTGCAGGTGGTGGTGCGGGTGAATTTGGGTGTGGCCTGGGTTGGCATCAGGCGGCGATGCACCCTCCAAGATGGCGTGCCGACCAGCCAGGGCAAGATGGTTATGAAAGTGGTTCGGTTTGTCACCCCGCAAAACCTGCACTCCCAGAACGACTCACACACCCACACCCGCACACATTCACATGCACAGCAATACACGCGATCGCACACATGTGCACAAGGATGGCACGCTTTTGCCGGCAGCGCGATAGCCCCCGCACCTGCCCTGTCTCGCTGTTGCGGGCCCACACGACGACGACGTCCGCCCACGTGCCGTTGCCGATCCAGCGCTTCTGCCCGTCCAGCTGCCAGCCGCCAGGCACCTTGGTGGCCGTGCAGGTCAGGGCCGACGCGTCGCTGCCGTTGGACGGCTCCGTCAGCGCCCAGCAGCCCACCTGCCGTCAACCATTGAATTTATTTGGCGTTGTTTGGGGCGAGCGAAGGGCGTCGCGCCAGTACCTGAGCTGCTGCTCTGCGGGCGAGTGCGCCCGAGTAAGGCAGGGAACGAACCAGGGCTGACGGCCGTCACGGCCACGTCCCGCCGGCCCATGCAGGACAGCCCGTTGCCGTGCGATGCAAGGGGTACCACCCACCCTGCCGCTTCCCAGCGCTAGATTTGCGGCGTGCTCCTGCAGCCGTCGCTCAGCACTGTCCTTTTTGCCCCACCTGCTTGTAGCTAGCCATATCTGCCAGGTAGGCGTTCTTCTGCTCCTCTGACCCCAGCAGCCCGATGGTGATCAGCGCCAGGAAGTTGTGCACCTGCAGCAGGCGTCGGTGTCCGCGCAGTTCGTGCCGGGTACTGGGAGAGCGCACGCGCTGGGTGCACTGGCAGGCGCACGCCGCGACGCGGCCGGCAGGGCAGCTCCGGCAGACGCTGACGAGGCTCGCCTGCTGCCCCAACGCCGGGGCCTTGGCACAGTGTGCCGGTGCAGCCGCACGACGCGGCGCTCACCAGTGTGAAGGTGGAGATGCTGGCGTCGACGCGGGCGTACTCTGTGGCCGCCATTGCGTTGGCCATGATGCTGAGGCCCTGTTGGGTGGGGG